TATATGTCACGGCTTGCTTGAGTAGTTGTTAGCTTTAGCATCCTAGAGTTCACTTGAGTTTTCTCCTCCTATCTCATTCTTGAGCTGTCTCTGTGTGTCTGTGAAATGTTTGCTTTCTCTGCGCCCACCACTGCTGGTGCGTCGAACTCTTCGAAAAACTTGTAATTGTAATTGTAACCTCGACATGTGGTGGACAGAGTCTTCAGGATCCTTTTATGAAAGGTATCTGGTATCAGGAGCATGTCGTCAATCTTCGGAGAGGCCTTATTCTAAAAATAAATACGCACAGCCACCACGACCACGCAGTTTTGTAAACCCGCGTTTATCAAAACCAGAAGCAGTACCCACAGGAACTGCAAAGCCCTTTGAAATAACCTGTCCACAACGACCTGCGCCGCCTCTGTGACAGCAACAGAAAAAGATACATTTGAAGCGTGTATGACTATGATCGTAGCTAGCTGTTACATATCGTACAGAAGTCTACAAATTATTACATGATTTGTTTCCTTCCTCGAGCTTATTCCAGCCCCCTAGCAGGTGTAGTACAATAAGAGACTATATGTTCGAGCATCTTTGGTTCAGACTGTGAAGAGCACGATGATAAACGAAGGAAAAATGAGTTCGGCTGGTTTTTCCAAGAATCCGGAGCCTCCTTTGAAGCCGACACATGACAAGAAAAGCAAGCAGATGTTGCGCGATCAAAAGACCTCCGCTTCCGCAACGATACTACACGAAGCCAAGTACTTACTACTACATAAATTATCGATTATTCCCATCTGATGGGGCACCTACGCCTACTTGCGCCACTGCTCTCTCTACTAGCTTTACGCGCACACGAAGACCTCCCGCAAAGGTAGATAACCTGTGCTGGGTGCTTTAGCCCGCCCTCGCACGACGCACCTCTTGTCTCAAATAATCTTGTCAGGCAATCTCACATCAGCGGCACTGGGAGCCGAGCGCAACAGTGGAAGCAGATGCACTTGGTCGTCTACTTGTTGTGGGTTGTATTTGTTATGCGCCTTATTCGAACTATTTCGAATAAGTTAGTAGTACTTATCGGGCGTGGCGGCCAATCATTTTAAAGAATTTCACCGACTTACCCGGACCTTGTTCAAGGTCGTTGGCTTGTCTGACGCTGACCCGTAGGAAATACTTCTGAAATTCCGCAAAAAAATGCACGCCGACTCGCTCCATTTTTGGACTCAATGGGGCTGGGAACTTCTCTGGGCTTTTTCGAAAATAGTTGGCAATCCCCGACATAATAGCCGATCTTCTTTATTCGCATTCTGTCACGGTGTCAATGTAAGTAGGTAAGTACTTCTTCCACAACTGAGACAAATAGAACTGAGGGTATAATAGTTTCTACTTGTTAACTTGGTTAAGATGATTGAGATTGCATCATATCATCGATCAGTCACGACTGTATTAAGTAAACTGCTCGAGTTCTTTTCTATTATCATCTTCTTCTATATGTGTGTGTGTGTGTGTAGTGTGAGAGATGCGTCCTTGGTTCTCTCCCCTCCTGCTCAACGTGACCCCTCTCAAGTTCGTGCATCACCTAATATCACGGACTTCTCTGGGGTATTTCTATAGATACATACATTCTTCTATATATAGTAGAAGACAAGAATACTTTTGCTCTCTCCAAGAACTCTCCGCGTCCTCTTCTACAGCAGTTGCAAAAATTGCAACTCAGCATGGGTATTCGTCTTAGTCAAGTTCGACAGCAGCTTAGAACTGTCTTAAGCTTACACATTAGAATTTGTACTTCTAGTTTTTCGTCTTCGTAATTTGGAAGTTGTAGCGGCCTTTTTTACAGCTTTCATACTTCTCGGAACGGTGTTTCATCTGGTCTTCGTCGCCTTTGTGCCAGATGCTCTCTCCTCCGACTCTGGTGGGAACGACGTGAAAGATCCACCTACTGCGTCTCGTATATTACTAAATGTAAATCCACTTCCACATGAAGTTCGCAATTGAAAGCCTCCAGTGCATGTTTTAAGCTGAGCGAATAAGTGAAACGAATAGGAGGTATGATGTTTATGACATTGCTCATGCTGTTGGTCTTAGTCCTATTCTCTTCTGCTCGAAATCTGAAGCAAGAAGTGGCGCATGTACAGCTCAGATCTTCTTCGCCAAGTCAGGACGAGTTGATTGCTCATGGGAGATGAGTAGATGATTCAGATTTTCTTCACGGGCCTCGTTTATGATAAAGATGCTTTTTGAAGTCCTGAAGGATCATGCGGTGGACTAAGATAAACATCTCAAATGAGATAGACACTCAAACTTCCTCGGGGATTGACCTTGACGTACGCAGAGAGTCCAAACACACAACAGGAAAAAACGTCACTAGCTCATACGCATTGACATTGCCTGGTGGAGCTGCTGTTGGGGAATGGTTCCAGACGTCCACATCAAGCACAGGCATTTCCTGCTTACTTACTCATACTTTTCTTGGGACCACTCGTTATTTGAATGTATCCATTGCGTGTGTAATTATACATTAAGTGTATGGTGTACTAGGTAGTCTACATAGAAAGAGAAAGCGTTTCCTTATGTTCACTGTGATTTTTGTACACCTCCATACACATGCTCACTCTAAGAATTACTCACGTGGTTTTTGTAGTATTTATAGTTATCGATTCTTTCTGGCCATCACCACCTTTTACATTCTCCAGGTTCTACAACCACGAGGAGCAACGCAAAACGGGCCGGATTTTTGAATATATCTTCGTCCTCCTTAAAGAAAAATCAAGGGGTGCAACTAGAACTGCCTTCGCTTGCATCGACGACCCATGCAAAGAGCACTTCTGCCTCTGGGTTTTTGGGAGCTGTGCATGAAAGTGCAGCGACAAGAACGCAGTTGCAGAAATATGACGCCGATAATACCAATGTCCGTGTGGAGCTGGAGACTGATAATGATAGCAGAAGCAGCGCTCTCGCTTCTCATACACATGGCACAGCTACTAACGTCAAGACAGCCTCATCAACATCGATTTCGCATGGCGCAGCCCTATCAAGATCATTTTTGTTAAGCCTCGTCGAGCTGAAGAATCCATAGTTACATATAAATATATTTTTTTAGAAGTCGTAGTGAGTCGTTATTGTGCCTTATCTTCTGTACCTGTAGAGCATTGATCATTGATCAATCATGTAATTCGAGTCTGCTGTTAACAGTAGGACGATTGTATCTAAATGCATGTTGTAACTTCTTCATTCATAGTACAAGTACAGAGACGTTTTACAGTCCACTTTTTTTCGAAATATCATTCTTCTAACTTTCGATCGCAGCGTAATGTGGAGTAGTGCCTCTGCGTCCCTCCTGGCGAACATGACCTCTTTTACAGAGGTAATGCGACAATCATCGGCGACTGATCCGGACGAATATTTATGAATGCAGTTGCAGTAAACCTAACCCTAATTCTAATCCTAATACTGAGGCCATGGCCATCTACGGGATCCTCGATGGTCTGAGTTATCCTACCTTTTTAGTCACTCTAATGACACCAAAGAAAAAGAAGATTATCATTATTCTCTTTAAAAAAAGGACCTAGATGATTATTCTCTAATGAAGAGCGAGGGCGAGCAAAATATTTGCAGCAGTACTTTACGCAGTCAAGGTGGATCAGTCAGAGCTGAGCAGTGCAAAACGCTTGACGAGATTTAAGACAAGTAGCGAACGCAGATAAAGAGTGGTTATCTAGTATCGAACGTAGATAGAAATAGATATCATTTTTATATAAATTTATCACCAATGCCCCACGAAAGGGCTGCGCACTGCTAGAATGTATCAATGGCACTAAGTAGCACCACGAAAATGTGCAGGATCCTACGTAACCTCAGATAGCAGGACCACGCTGAGATGAAAGACACTTGTTCCCACTCTAAATCACGCTCTTCAAGATGGAGGTTTGGCTCCGGGAAATGCTGAGAGCGGGGCACCCGCTGGTCTCTTCTGAATACAGTGTTCTTGGGTCTGAGATGATGGGAGAAGCTGCCGGCGAGTCTTCTTTTTCGGAGAAAGGCAAGCCGCGCACCGCAGTCGAACTACGAGCGGAAGACTATAAAGAACTTGTAATCAAACAATTCAAGGCTGCGTTTATAATTAAGGCAAGCATCAAAATCAAACTCAGAGGAGCATGATCCTGCGGCTGCGCTTTATCCTTGGCCCCTTTCTCAAAGGGAAAAAGGGCGCTTGGATGGCGTCAGGCTCAGGGGTGCAATCACAGCGAAGCTATGAAGCGAAAATCTGTTATCATTATCAAGCTTCTTAAATAGAAGAGTGTGATAATGGTAATTATAGATTTTGGCTTCATAGAAGCGGTAGCCTTAGCTCTAATGCTAGCAGAATCGTCCTGCACTCGCTGGGCAGGCCTATCAACATCAATGGCGACGAAGAGCTGCATGCGAAGCATGTGTCTGGGTCTGGCTCTGGACCCATACTCACGGTCAAAACGGCTGCTCCAGTCGGGCCTCCTCGCCGCGTCCAGGGTGCTGTGGTACTTCCTGTCGAGGAAGCCACATGGAATTTGGTCGAAAGTGGCAAGAGGATCCCTCTCGTAAAAGCCCCGCTAGTACTCAAGGTCAGCAATGTCGATACATTACGGCTGCTTACGTTACATCTTTCATGATCCAGTACTTCTTGAGTTGAAGTTGAACTACGAAAACGAAAAGCATCTTCATATCTTTTATTAAGCCTCTATGACGTTTCAGAAAAAGGAAAACGCGCCCTTTTGTTCTTGATTTTTACGCGCTAAATACCGTTGGCGGTGATTTTGCAAAATATGACCAGAAGAATTGGCTCATGAGCTCGAAAAGCGATCCGTCCTTGCACGGTGACACTGCCATTTGGGAGCTCTTCCTTTAAGGCTTGTCCCCCTAAAGATTTTCCGCCTGCTTCTACTCACATATGCATCATTGAATCTCAGTTCCAATTCCAAATATTAGAGTTAAATTCATCTAAGTAGCATTTTTATCTTTTTGCACTACGAGCTGCAGAGCCACTACTTTTCACAAGAAAGCAGACCATCCAAGTCATCTCCGCGACGCCTACTTAAGACGGATCATCATCAATCGTCCAGATCTTCTTCATGATCATGGTAACAAGAAGTTCTACATCTTATACTATCGCATCTTGCTAGTTAGGTTAGCTTATAGATCCGTCGCATCCTCTCAAGATACTGACATACTGCTGTCTTTCGGGAAACTGAAACTTGCCCCGCCGCGTCGACATGAACATGTACGCCTAGTTCTAACTTTTACTGGTATTGTTTTCCCAGATGCGTCCGATCCACGAATCCACGTCAGCATTATCGGAACGAGAGGGAGAAGACGTGCAACTCCACCAATGCGTCCCTATTTTTATTAAAGTCATTCTTTCGAGAACGAACTTTGGCGTGCTGATGTACAATTTTCACACCTTTTCCTTCGTCCACGAAAACATGTTAAGGCGCTTACTTTTTACAGTTTATTTTAATAATTGCTTGCATATGCACATGCAGATGCACTAATATTAGTTTATAGACGGTGGGAAGGTGGGCACGGTGGGCGACGCTGGGCCGCTGGGCGGCCACGCTTGGCACGGTGGGCGGACCCTTGGCACACATGGGGGGCACGGTGGGCGCACGCTGGGCGCGTATAGCGCTGGCCCGCTGCTTCCGCCAATGTACAGGGCCGCAGTCGAGAGCAGCGCGGCGCTGTGCTCCTTCGTGGAGCGGCCACGTTCTCGCTGCTTGCGGTGCGTCGCTGCTGTCTGCAGTGCCGCCTGGGTGTGTAGAGTCCGGCGCAGCGCTGCAATGGGCCTCAATGCTCTGCTGCAATGTGCGGCCAGTGCTGCTGAGGGATATTCCCAGGCGGGCCAGTAGGTTGGCGCCCCGATTCGTATGCAGCTTGCTGCGGATCCAGGGCGCACGCGCTTGCTCTGCCGAGGGGCTTCAGAAATGGGCGTCCGAAGGGCGCCCCGATTTTTGGCCCCAAGTCTCACGGTGGGCGCGCGGTGGGCGACATCTTTGGCAGATGACCCACTTTCGGGCCGCCCAGCGGCCCAGCGTGCCAAGCGTGCCCACCGATCCAATTCTGGAGAGGCTATCAACTTTCCTATGTATAAAAATACGTTTGTTTATTTCGGAAACAAATTCCAATCTTCTTGACGTGTGCAGTAGATGTTGAGAGTAGAGTTGTATTGCACAATACTACTGATAAACACAATATTATTTACTAGATACCTGTCCTAGTAACTATTCATCAAGAACAGCATGCTTTTCATCCTCAAAAATTTCCTCAAAAACATGTCAAAATCAAATAAGTACACGCTTGATCTCCAAAGGCCTTCCGGCGATCTTAGCCTACAAAAAAATCATGTTGTCCTGGGTGGGGCACATGACTGAAAATGATCATCTCTACTTCCCACTCCCCCGCTAAAATTTGATCACAATGAAGCATGGCCAAGGTCAACCGCAAATCTGCCGGCACATATCTTTTATCAGCTGTCGCCAGAATTGAACCTGCACTACCTGACAGGCTTCGCGCGTTGCATCGAGACCCTGGCGAAGTTCCACATCATCCATGGCGACATCAGGCCAGACACAATGTTAAGGCCATCTACTAGAGCAGCTAGATGACAACATGTTGCATATAAATATTAATGAGAACGTCATCATCCACGCTCTAGTACTTCTAGACTTGTAGTATCTACTACCTAGAACGAACTACAACGATCTTTAATTGTACGCGTAGAAGTACTTGAAATGGCATGTTGGCTTATTTCCTGTGGTTCGTGTGGGTCGTAGTCCTTGTCTGAGTCCTTATTACGATTTTTTACAGACACTAGTAGTAGTACTAGTAGTAGTAGTAGTGGTAGTAGTAGTAGTAGCACTACTACATTGATTTTGATTTCTTCTTGTTCTTTCTTCCATCCAAAGAGCTTACCTAGTGCGGTTATCTTCCAACGTACGTACAGACAGATCGTTGAAAATTTACATGAATGATGTGTCTAAGTTTTGCGCTGCATTGCGACACGCGCCCTCTTTTGAAGTCTCCTGGTGGTGTAGCGGTATGCAGTCAAGCGCTCAGCAAGGAGGTACTCTTAAGGATGCCCTCGCTGAATCATCGTCAGCGCCATCCTTGGCCCCTTTTTCATCAAGGTGGGAAAAGGGTTCAGGGATGGGCTCATTGATACGACGCGCCAGCTCTAATGCTGGAGGCTGGCGACGGAATTCGGTTCCGGCCGGTATTTGTTGGTTTCGGTGCAGCAATACTGGAGTACTCGATGAAACCCAAAACTGGCGAGGATGTTCCGATACATTTGATGCGGCCACAAAATTGGGTGCTAGGTGCGGACACGTACATCAACGCCTGGGGTGACGATAGCCGCGAACTGCATTTGGCTACTGGAAAAGGTTAAGGGTTGGTAGTTGACCTGTCTAAGTATCTCTATGTGAGCATACGTATCCATGAGTGGGACCTTTTCAACTTGAAGTAGGACGAAAGTCATACCTATGGCCACCTTTTCAAGTAGAAGGAGGAATAAAGTCATAAAAAATCGATGTGGATGCGAGATAGGTCGGTCATCAACCTGCATCCGCTAACAAGAGACGCATTCTGTTCCGGAAGTGCATCTGCTCGGCACAGACGTGATGATGCACCCAACGTTGAGGAACATCGATGCATGCCCCCTTTTGGCCGCCGACAATGGTGGAAGCAAGGTGCCGTCGGGAAAAGAGCTCAAAGATCCGGACCCTGCCCGTCCCAACGCCGTGGTCTACCGTGCCGGCTTGGTCGACAAGCACTCTCTCGCTACCTCCTGGCTGTGGATTTGGTCTTTGGGGAAACCCGGCGTGACCGATTCGGCAACGTTGCGGAAGACCGTCTTCAAGACGGCGTACAACTGCGATATCGCGGACCCGGATAGTCGTTCGTCGAATGCCTATGGTTGCTTACCTTTCTACCCCGACGTCGCGGGATCGCGGGCAGCGAATCCCTTCGAGGCGAGATTTACCAAGCAACCAGACCCTTCGAAGCCGAAGAGTTACTTATGGAAAGTGTATCTATCTTTGTTTCAGTATTGGAATAGTTATTCCTTCTTCAATAACAAGCGGCAAAAATCGAGGTCGCGTGTCTAGGTTTCAACTTGCACCAGTGAGGGCCTCAAGATGGAGAAGAACGGCAGTCACTGTCTGCAAGGTTTTAAGGGGAAAGGTCAGGCGTCTCAGGCTTCACGCTCGAAATCAAGTCGCAGGGCTTTGACGGGGTGCCAGAGTTTTAGGTGACAGAGTAGACGAAACGGCGCGAGCCTCTCAGGGTTTTGGCCTCAGACTAGGCGCGGGCATTTTTTGCCTCAGAGTTCTCAGCTTCAGGGTTTTGGTTGCATTATTTTTGCCGATTTCTCTCACTACACCTCAAGGCTTGCCTCCTCTCTCAAGGTGGCGACTGTGTAGCAGGGTTCTCCCTTCTCAGAGTTGCGCAGGCTATTCGCAAAGCCGGTTGCTTGAGTAGAAGCACGCCACGGCCACGCCTTGGCTTTCTCAGGGTTTTAAGGAGGGCCCGTGGCTATGCACGCCACTTCAAGGTTTTAAGGGGATCCCTGGCTTTCTCAGGGTTTCCCAGGTTTGACAAATGACCATGAGCGACGGGGCGGCCAGTGCTGCGGCGGGGGTAATGAGGCCGGCGGGTCAGCTTGCCCCTGCAGGACTTCACTGCCACCCCTACGAACGGAAAGCGGCCCACGGCCCACGCCGGTCGTTAACGCTTGGAATCCCGCACGCGGTGCTCGAATTCTGCCCCTAAAGTCCTCAAAGCGTTGCCCCGCAACTTTTCGGCGCCTTCTTGTCTCGTTGGTACGTACTCCCTTTCCTCTTTTTGAGGTCACAGGCAGTTCACTCTTCTCGCCCTCGAATCCACCAACTTGCCGCTCGACTCTGAGCATTGGGGTCACCTTCACGACTAGTATATAGTACCTAATAGAATGCTAGGCCATGATCATCTTCATGGTCGTATTGGTATTCGTAAGTTCTTCTTGGCACGCATCTTCTTCCGCCTACCCGTTACTTAATATAGCGCCAGGATGCACATGAATAGTGTCAAAGCGTGAGAAAAGTGCGAAGTGCAACTCCATGCAGGGAGTATTGAGTACTAGCATAACAAAGATTCATTTTTATGCTATTTACATTCAGTGTTGTAGTCGAGGTCGAGGAGGTGGAGGCACAACTACATCCATTTTTGCTTGTTCTTGTAACCTTCACGTTGACACAATTTCAAGTTCAACGCCCCATGTAGTAATCGGCATGCGATCCGTGGCAAGAAATCATAACACCAGAGGAAAGATCCAAGCGACGCGAGGTGGCGGTGAAGTTAAAGTAAGAGAACAACACAAAGTATGTTCTTCATCCAGAAGATGAACAGTAGCATCGGAACTGCTTGACCTTAATACTGGTAGATTTTCTAAGCCAACGCTACAGCATGAATTCGTGCTACACAAGCCGTGGCTACTCCGTGGAGAAGCTTTAAGGAATAAACTTGTAGCATTGTTCATCAAAAAAAGACCATGAAATGCGAGATCTACTCATAATACTTTTTTTTATACTCAACATCTACACCTTATTTAGTCTTGTATTTGTGGTTTTGTTCCTAGGTAAAGCCAACGGCATTTTAATATACATATACTAACTTCTTATAATAAATACTGTCATTTTTTTTTCTAGAAGGATTACTTATATATACTTGTAGTTCTGACCACAGTGATGTCCTAAGTCACGGAAGACGAGCAAAGGAACTTCTTTGGTCGTGCCTTGGCTTGCCACTTCATGATCACAAAAAACTATAACTATAAGGAGTGGGTAGAGATGGCGAGTGTGATAACACTAGAAAAGCACCACTTTGCCATATGATAAATTTAGGAACAAGAAGAATAAGAGAGAGAAACTATATTATAATACCAGCTCGACGACCACGACGACGTCCACGAGCTTGCTAATGCTACCTTAAGACTCCTTCTCCTGCTAAGACTTGATACAAAACTTCCCCGATCAGCTGGGCGCTCAGGGGAAAGCGGGAGCGTTGGTGAACATGCTGAGCAAGTATGTGATGGCCTCGCATGATCCGAAGCCAGACATTAAGGCCATCTTCAATCTAAAAGTTGTAGTAGTTAGAGTTACACGGGTATCAAACTTATTTGTTGGACGAGCCTTATATTTCTGTGTTTACCCTTTCTTGCCTTTGATATAGTTCTCGTAACTGCAACTATTGCAACAACTTCTTGCGAGGAAAAGTGTTATTTGAAAAATATGTAAGTACAACAACAACAATAACAACATGCTTAATAAACTCCGCTAGTTCTACTCTGCTTCATCATGTGCTCGCTGTATCTAGTTATTCGGTAGGACATCTTCGCTGTAGCTATTTTTCAGCTCTAAAACCAGGCCGCCTGTGTCTCCTGATCCTCGAATCGGCAATCCGGGTGCGCCACCACCACCAACGACTGAGGGGGCAGGCGTTCCAGCCGATGAAACACCTTCAACTAGCATTACGAGGAGTCTCGCTAAAATCATTCATCCACGACAGCTTGTTCTGTTGGTAGAAGCAACATAAACTCATACTACTGACGTCGAATGAACAAATTTGAAATTCACATTGATGATTTGCAACTAGTAAGCGAAGGATGAACGAGGACACTGGAAGTAAGTAGATAGTGCAGCACTGCAGTGGTGCTGTATCTTACATAATCTAGTAATGCAACTGGTGAGCAGACTGTCAGAACTTGATGCTCTTTCAGACCAGCAGGTTGAGACCTCCCAGATGAAAACAAGAGAAAATAGATATTTGTGGAAACAAGTACAGTTGTCTTGGACGTGCTCTAAGATCACCAGCCGGCCTGCGGCACAGACTGAATCCGAACTATCTGGCGACCCTTAAGACTAGTTTTTTTTCATCATCTAGTTCTAGATTGCTAAAATATCGATAGCTTGAGAAGAAGTGGCGACTAGAACTACCCTTGTTCCAAGAAGAGGAAAGCAAGGCAAGCAGCTATAGCTAATGCGTGTGCACCTTCACAACTTAACCCCCACGCATGATTCGAAACTAGCGCTAACAAGGGGTGGCAGCCGCATCCGGTTCGCGCAAGAGAAAAAAGAAATCTTCGTGTCCTTGCCCAGGGTGTTGCCCTTGAGAGAGAATTCTTCAGAATAAGGGTGATAGAGAATACGAATAGGTTATTCTAGAGACTGAGTGATTCTAGAGAAAAGGGTAAGTGGGATTGGGAAGGGGAACAAGAGACGTGCTGATACTAGTATCTAGATAAACAGTGCAACATGAACATGGGGAAAGAGGTGTGATAAGACTTCAGCGTCAGAAGTCTTTGGAGCGTAAAAATGCAAAGGTTTTCTTAGTAATCAAGATGAAATTATTCATACTATGCATATTCTGCTAACACGACTCAGTCAAGGTAACACTTAGTCAAGCAGGTATCGTTCATGGCATGTCTAACATGTAGAAAAAAGGCTGTAGCTCTTCATCATCCATAAGCATGACCTCACTCGAAAAAGAACAGAGTCAGGAATCAATCACGATATATTTTGTAGCATAGAAGTAGTACGAAAAAGAGATGTTGAACAAGTTGCGAATCATGATAGATCAGTCGAAAAGAAACACTCATCAAGTCATATTAAATCAGATAGATGTACTATGTTTGAAATGTCTACCTCAGCCTGAATCCAAAGATTTGTATTTCGTAAAACAAATTATAAGTAGGTAATTGTAAAAAAATGAATTGGTCGTATAGATGTCATAATTTTGATGCACAGGGGAACGAATCTAGTAAAAAAAATAATTGCATCGGGAGTTTAAGTTTATTGGGTAAAAATACTTATGCAAATAATTGAGAACAGTAGATTTCACTTTGTCAGCAGGAATAACTGTTGATGAAGGACGAATGAAAATAAAACCGAACTACAAATCTAATTCAAGATTGCCGTCTAGTTTTTCCCAGAATTAAGTGCTTAATATTCAGAATGGACCATAAACATCAATCATTCAAGTGGAAGAAGTCGCTGTGCTTGCAGGAGTCGTCCTAAAGCCAAAGTACAGCGATACCTGTGGAGCCTTGTTTGCCTGCTGGGAAGGGGGAGACCAGTTTTTTCGTGGAAGGAGAGAGCTTTGTGCTGGAGAGTTGCCAAGATCGTCAGAGTCATGATATAAATGATTTCTTGCATTGTGAATGGCAGTAGAAGAGGATTGTAAGTACCCGACACAGACAAAAGCTGAGGCCTCTGTCTCTCAGGAGAGAAGTTGCGCATATGAAGTAAGTACTTACGATCCATGACAAAAACAGACTTGGAGCGGTAGCGATGTCCGAAACATCAATCTGCGGAGATGCCCAAGCATTCTGACCCTGAGTGAAGATCTTCCCGCCAAGTATTCCAAGTGGAAACTTCGGAATTATGAAACGACAAACCAACAGGATACCGCATTAGCAAGCATAGCATATCTCCACCCAACATGATGTATGGGTAGACCCACCATTCATTGTTTGCGCTTGCATCTCAAAGTCACTGCAAGGGAGGTGCAATTTTGAGTCTGATCAGATCAGGGTACAGGTTATTATGAAGATATACATTAAACAAGCCGGGTAGTCCTCGGCATATCCTCTTTCTTGAGCTAGTAACGCTTCTAGCACAATAAATTATTGATCATAACGTTCTATATCTATCTCCTGACGAAAACCTAGGACCTACCTAAAAGCACTCTCATCCAAGGAAGATGGATCGAGCCAATTTAAAAAGAACGGCGCAGGAGCTTCTGCGTTTGGCCGAGAGCGATTCTGAAGTTGAAAAAGATAAGCTCCGGGATCGCATCCAAAAACTAGAAAGCGAAAATGCTTATGCTGGGAATCTCTAACTATAAGAGCAGCTTTGTACTACTACAGGAATTTTTACAGGAGTGTGGTGATTCTACGTTTTGAAGAAGGCCCATGGTCCTAGGCAAGTCCTTTATATGTAAATCTATTTGTCTCCCGCAGGGCGTACGCGTGGGGAAAATTCACGTTAAGATGATATCTACCTGCTGCACGCTTACATTAGAGGTCGCCCCAGATGCTAACATGATCATGATCGGCGTTGAAAAACTGTATTAGCATGCATGTCCTGTAATATTGTTGTTCTTGTCGTTCGTGCTCAAATCACTACTATGAAATAACCAACAAGTAGATGAAGAAGAAGGCTGTTCGGGCCTCATAACTAAGTAGTATATAGACCAGCACCCAGAGGCATCCTCCTGACATATTTTTCTAAAAGCAGGAGAAGCGGCGAAAATTGGAGGAAGCCGAGGCAACATCAGACACATTGCGGAAGGCGAAAGAACGGCTAGAAACTCTAGTGGAGGCGATGAAGAAGGAAACTGCGGTATTTTTTATCTTCTTCCTTATATATTATAAGAATAAATATGTTTAATAACGGTTCCTTTGCAACTTTTCAACAGCGGCTTGTGGATTAATGGAGTAGTCAGTCTCAAATCGTACATTTTTTCGGAATCGATTGGAATCAGTGCGAAGACAACTTTCAATTAGTCCCCAAGCGATAGTGATAGATAGATAGATAGATGGATGTACCCACTCGCGGGGTGTAAGATCTTTTAATTAGAGGCTGCATCTCCGCCACTTTTTATTTCTTCACCTTTTTGCACCTTTTTTCGTGATTCCTCATCATGTCCACCCGTTTAGATCTCTGCAGTAGGGTGGTGTTGCTTTCTTCAAATTCCAACTTCCACTTTTTGCATTTCCAGCAGCAAATGTGGGTCTTGTTGCTGTTGTGCCACTGCTTTTCATCGACCCAAATTCTCTGTAGTCGAGCGGAGGGGCCATAGCCGTACTTTTTTGCTTTTGCGTTGAAGTAGTGCTGCTCAGGCCTGAAGATGTTACGCAGTGTTCCTACTCCTGGGCTATCGCGCCCAATCTGGGAACCAACAAGCACCCGTGCAATTTTTACTAGACATCAGTGAGGAAGAGGATAACTCTTCGACATCAAAACTATGATACCGACTGGAAGATACCCGACGGAGTAGTTCCAAATTAGAAGAATGCTTCGCAAGTATCCCCGAGGTAGGCTACATAACTTCTAGATGCATCTCTTGGGGAGATTTACATTTACTCTACAATCGGGAGTAGTCAGCACGACGAGTAGTGTCTATACCTTCATTCAATCTAGAGCCACATTATCAATATCATTACACACCTGCTCCAGGCGATCGATGATGCTGATCTTGGCGACCCTCGTTTCGGTGGGAAAACGATATCCAAAATTCGTGGCGAGCCGCCAGATCTGAGCGCGATAAAAAGCAAATGCGTCGGCGACTTACACGCGAGGGACAACGATACTTATGCTGAATGTGCATGGTGTAGTATCTAGGCAGCCTAGGCTTCTATGTCAACTAGTGGCGTTGACCATCGTTAATCGTACTGCTACTCCTATATTTATAAGAATCATAACCCACAACCGATGTCTAGACTACAGCATATGGGTTCTCCAAATCTTTTGAAAGAGAAAGCTTACAGATCAATTGCCTATGAAGGTTCTCGTACATCCACATAGTGACAAATTTCAACGAACTGCTTTACAAGAAAACTGCGAATACAGTACCCCAGCAACCCTATCTATCTATCTATCTATCTATCTATCTAAATCTGTCGATTTATCCATCGCGGCTCTACAAGAGGTGGCTGGTATGGTTTCTCAGGCAGACACGTTGTATTTGAATTCGAAGAAGCCTCGTGCTGGATAAATATATCATCAAGGTCCAGCCGCAACCTCTTCTAATTTGTTGCGAAGAAAATGAAGGATATTTGCTGTACTGCATTACAGGAGGCACTCGCAGATAAGGTGTATACAACAGCGCCAGGCGCGCTGGTCGGCGCCGACGCCCATGTAACTACAAAGCAGGTGCTGTCAGACGTGAGCGCAAGAATCAAGAAGAAGCTGGGGAAGGAATACAAGTCGAATAACTACTTCTTTCAGGTACAACCGCCTCTACTACTTGTAGTCTGTTGCACTTCATCTAGCTCAAGCGGCAGGGCCAGTGTGGTTGTAAGTCTTGTTTTCATTTAAGAAACACGAACTCGAACACCAGCAGTCTTAAAAAAATCATTCTGATGATTTTTTTTGTAAATGTGGAGACTTTTGAACACCCCGATTTGCCTACTGCTGGACTGGTAAAGAACGAACTTATCTTATCAGATTCTCTGCGGATACGGAGCGGAACACTATCTTGACAGGGAACACACAATTGTTAAGATGAGCAATTGTTTTTTGCTAAGTCGAAATCCTCTGTGGAGGTAGAGCGGCAGGAGCACTCTACTGCGTGTCCTCCCTGCATATGCTGTATCGTCTTGGTGAGTGGAGTAGGAGTCGAGCTTCATAGAAATCACGAAGTGAGAGATCCCTACCACGTCTTCTAGGTAAGGATACTACAACAGTGGATTCAACAGCGCGCCCAGTTTTTTAGCTCCTGAAAGCAAGATCTAGATCGATGAAACGTCACATCTAAACTTAGCCTTTTGAAGGTTCGGCCTCCCCGTGAAGAGGATGCCGAGAAACTTCCGACGTTCATTTTTATACGCGCAGACCAACCTGCCAGATAAAGTAAATAATAGACGCAGCGCGGCATAGGGGATCTACGTTTTACAACGTGCGCGAATATGGTATATAATAAAGAATAAGAAAGTGGGCACAACCACCATGGCGCACAACTATAACGAAGAGGGCCTACATATAATGTTAAGGAGCAGGCATTGGCATGTCCGATCGCCAAGTAGCTACATCAATGACTGAGAAGATTCAGGAAGGCAGAAGAAGGGCAACTAGGCTTGCACGATTGACGTGGTCGCGCGGAAGTAACTATAATACTAGCTTGAGGGGTCCTCGCGACCTTTTTCGCTGGGCCGCGGATGACTACGCTACTAGCACAGTTTTTTTTACATAAAAAAATGTGATAAATGTGAGCACGAACTAATACTCGAGGGCTTGCTTTTTGCAACATTCCAGCAGCCTCGTGCTGCCTCATTCGAACTTCTCCCATTGCCATAAGCCTTCGCTCACGCAGGACAACCTACACATTGAATAGTGGCACACAGCGACTCATCTCGATGAAACTCATCTTCACTCTACTTTTTAATCGATAAGAAAGAGAGCGTAGGACGCACGATGACACTAATCTGCAGCAATATTTTTACAACGTGACATATTGATATTCTGTCGTGGCTCGCGCTTGCCGAATTTTCTCAAGATCATCAAGATGAAGTCTTGATAAATTTTTTGAAACTAACATCATGAGTGCGACCGACCACCGTGAGTTTTTCGACAAGAACAGGAAGATTTGTAGTAAGGAGTAAGCGACAGGACGAAGAGGCATTGTTTCCCCAATCAAAACGTGCTAGCGTAAGGAAGAGGATATCACTTACGTAGAAACAATGGATACCGACGAAAGCCGTAGTCGGGAGGCCCTGCACACTTCCTCGTGTGCAAATCAGATTTGCTCACTTAGACAGAGTATCATTTGAAGGGAATGAGAACGAAAGGAGGAGGGTCGCTTTCGTTCTTGTAACTTGAAATATTAAAACTAAGGAGTAATAGTTATAGTAAAAACAATTTTACAAACTCGACAAATGACACCGAAAAAAATGGCATCCACTTTTTTTTGCAAAAATCCCCGTCCCCAACAAAATCGAAAACCACCACAGGTGCACTCGCCGCAGTGCCGATCAGGCCTAGTTTTTGCAACAAAAGGTTTTAAGTTCATTTTCTTCGGCTGAGTATCTGAGTCACGCTCACGTCAGCCGGCGTTTGCCAAGCTTCTGCCAGCACAATAGCCTTTATCAAATATGGGTAATTCCTCAGCATCGGAAATCCTCGATCATGTCCTATCGGGGGAGGCACCTGAGATCCCTCAGTGTGGAGAGTTCTGCGTTACGAGCATGCGCGACCGTCGTGACTTTGGTTCATCGAATCGCAGGAGACAGATTTATGGCAATTATACAGTAAAGTCATTGCAGCTGCAAGTTGTAACACAGTAGAATCATTGCAGCTGCAAGTCCTTTCTCGTTGTAGTTTATGAAGTTGTTAAGATTTCCAGTAGGGAACTACTGTGAAAGAGAGTTAGCACTTCTATTTGTTGTTGGGAAAGGAGCGAAGATCTGCCATGCCCTAAGAGACAAGTGGAGGCGGAGTGGGGAGAGGATATTCGTCCGCGGGAGATGATTATGGGCAACGGCAATGATGAGAGCAAATAAGTAGGCGTAATTATACTAATAACTGGTAATCGTGAGAGTGAGAAGAGCCGAGAAGGAGAAATACGAGATTGAATCTATGGCCCTAGACCTAGAGCCAATCATGTGATTCCTTCTTTTGAGCCAGTCTTCAACTTTCTTCATCCTTTCATTCTCCGTCCTCTAAGACAAGGGTGAAGACGCGCGTGCGCATTATTTAGAGGCGTGCTATGCACCTGTCACTGCAATGGTAAATCACCCCTTATGCGAGGTGCACGGCTGCGAAGACGATCACCGAACGCGACGTGAGAGGGGACTCCTCTTGTCCTCAAATGGGTATGAGATTGGACTTCTACTCCTAGTACTTCTTACAGCGAGCAGCTACAGTAGTAAGTGACTTGAACATACGATCATTCGAGTCATATGCTCTGAGACGGATTTCGTACAGCAGCTTACTTGTCATGCTACTAAGTACGACTAGAAGAAGCCCTGTCACTTCGTGGTGGTTGTTGTTACTTGAACTTGTCTAAGTAGGTACCGTTTAATAGTAGCTCATTGAGCGTGAGATAAATGCGAGAACGGTTAAGGCGTAGCTACTTTTGAATAGATCATTGGAGTTGTTTCGTATTCGGGTCTTGTTTCTACGGTTTCCTCAGAGGATTTCGACTCGCCAGCTTCAAAATTCAGACAACCTGAGCCAGCTATTGCCGCCATTTACGGCCTTGCGCACCGTCGCTCGTGGGCAAATGTTAGAGGCCGCCCCAAGAGTCGAAGTGTGGCGTGAAAATGCTGCAGCATCAAAGCAAGCAGAAGGCACAGAAAATACGACAGGACACAGACGAGGCAGTAGCAGAATCGTTGTGAGGTACAAATTCACACATTCTCATCTGAACATCCTCCTATGTGGAAAGGGATATCTCTCGTCTCCTGAGAATTACAAGGTAAGCCAGAGTCTGATGGACGGTAGGTATTTCTCAATGTCGTGGTCGTGGAGCTTGAGTTGGTGATGCTGCACATATGTTATGCAGAATTTCTTCGAGTTCTAGTGAAGAGTTGCAAATTATATAGGAGCGGTTGATTTTGCCGGTCTACGTTCTTCTACCTTCAACATTTTTTCCAGCGATGAAGAAGACGAACTTGAGATGCAGGTTTGCACAGAGGATAGCGTTCTCAATTTCATGGCTCGGGGGAGCAATTGCATCGTGACAGTTCTGCTTAACCAGAAGACAAGTGTCGGTCGGTGCCTCCGTTTTGACCATTTTGAGAACAACTTCAAGCTGTATCAACTAGAAGTGCCCAGTGGGAATCCAAGGAGCCTACACTTCAAGGTAAATACAAGAAGAGATTTTTTGAACCAACCGCTGTATTTTTATGCTCTTCGTGAATCGTGGTAACGTAACAAGCAGTTTTCATGACTACGCATGGTGACGTGAGAGTGAACGTGATAAAAAATCACAGATCGACCGCTTAGATCCGCGCGCACCTATGCGGTTTCAGCTAGATAGCGATTTTGGAGTGCAGCTAAACGGTTTGGACGTTCTGTCCTTGCTCTATCTAGAGCGTGCTTTCGAGGACATGTCAACAGAAAGTTATGCGGCTAAAGCAAGACGAGCTTCACCATGGAGGCGATCTTCTGGAGTCGAAACCAGTGGGGGAAGCTCTTCCTCTACAAGTGTGAGTGGTCCAGCGCCTCTTGTTCTTGGGGGGACGCTGGGCCTGGGATCATCGGTAGCTTCAGTTTGTTCTGTTATGGAGAAGAATTCGACTCACTTGTTGAAAATATACTTAAATGTGAGGTGAGTAACAAGAAGTTCTACGACCCCGCCATCAGCAGCTACGAGTTTTGCTTGGGCCTCCACAGCCACGGCATTGTTCCTGTTCGCGACCATTTCCATTGTCATACTTGCTTGTGGTCGCACATACGCAAACCTATGCCAAGGTCAAGGAGCTCATCTACTATGAAGATGATAAATTTCTGGTTCTGCCTTCTATCGCTAACAAAAGGGTAGACAACGTCAAGTCTGGTCGTTACTTGCCGACAAAGACGCTGGCTGACGCAGGAGAGATCGGAGCTCAAAGTAGAGGCAGGGAACGCAGGCTCTCCGAGACCACGGATTACAGTGTGGAGGATGACGACGAAGGTGGTGTTTACGGATTGTCAGTCGGAAACATCTTCAATATTCTTGTTGTTGATGGTCGCATTGATGTGAACTTGATCTTTATTCCTCGACCTCGACAACTTGCTTTTCGTTTTTAGCCTCTGTTAAATTTCCAAGTAACAAGTCTTCTTAACCTGAAGCTGCCGTCGCGAAACATTTAAATAAGTACATGGAAGCGAAAGGTCACCAGTATTGAAAATCTTTGTTCGAACCTCTAATCTGAACGAGTGACGTCCTCTGTGGGTCTGCGGGTAGCGAACAAGCAAGAGGAGAAGGACAGAGGAATGCGAGAAACTGGCTCCACATCTCGTTCTCCTAATCGTCGATTCTATCAGAGCCAGACGTGTCAAAGGAGCTTGGACTTTAGGGAAGGCAAGGTCTGCTGTTTGCCGGGACTCTACACGATGAAAAACAATATCGAGTTTGAAGTGCGAGGTATGTCCGGCACGGAGGATCTCTCACTGTATCTCAACGGGGGCGAGGTGGTTCTGGAAACCAGCATAAAACTTACACTCGATTTCACGCGGCTTCGGTACCTACTTAGAACGTACCTTGGCAAGGGAATTCTGATACTACAAGTTGATCATCTTTCTACAACTACAAGTCATCAGATACAACAGGTTTTTCGGCCTGGAGATATACATAGGTAACTTGCTGTTGCTTGTTGAAGTTCAGCTTTTAGCTTTCATAAACACACAGTCTCAGAGATTCTTAGACTTATGGAGGACTCGCACAATTATGTTGAAAACACGTAGATACACACTGACGCCGATGAGTTACCGACTGCATAGTTTGGATTTACTGCTACGATTCCGGAATGACGAGCGCGGTGAGGGGATGCAGCCCTGCGCTGTGGTTTCTTTATGAGTAGAAACAAGGCGCCCTCTTCTTCAGGTTGAGGCTAATGGATAGGTGACCACTGGTGGTGAGGTCATAAATTCAGAGCAAGAAAGGAGTCTTCCAAGATGAGGTGAGAGTGAGTCGTCAACACTATTACTTTCAAAAAAAGTATATGCATAGATAGTCTCTGTCTCTCTCATCCTGAACCTGAACAGTTCTGAAGCCCTCCCCTCCTAGCGCTAATTCCCAGACGTGTTGGCGTTTTGTGTTGTGGCCAGCAAAATGTGCTACCCAGCGTGACACACTACGAGCCTCCAGCGGAATCCGCGGCAGGCCGAGCAGCAGGCTCGATATCCTCTTCAGCGGTTGAAGTGAGGGAGGCACAGGTCGTTCAGAATGGCATATTCAGGAGGCAAGGCGTCTACCGTATGATGCCGTACGCCAAAGTCTTGAAAAGCCTGGTCGAAAGGGACTTGCCTCCTGCATCTTCAAATAGGTGCGATGCTACGACTCATACTCATCTTGCTGCAACAGTAGCGACACCTAGCAAGAATGTAACTTTTTACGAGCTGGATAAGCTGAAGAAGACTACATCAAATAGCAACCAACAAGAAGAGCAGCTAGGAGAACAAACCGCAGAAGCACAACATCAACGGCTTAGCTCATCTTCTTCATCAATAGCAGAGACCTCCTCTTCTGCGAGCGCAAGCAGTTTCAAACCGAACAAAAAGCAAAGAAGGGGCCAGAAGCGCGTGATGACCGTCTTGGGATTGACGTCAACACCAGAAGTAGAAGTGCTGGAGCAACAAGTAAAAGCCGATCCACCAAAACAACAGGTAGACTCGACGAAGGTGGGTTATAGATCAGAGCTCATGCCGTCTATAAATAGTCCTAAGGGCCGCGCACTAGTACCAGGTGGTATGCAAGGCGGGTCAATTATAGGAGCGTGAGGTGGACGCGGAGGCGGACGTGGAGGACGGGGAGCTAAGGTGAATCTACCGCCACTATCATGAGTGTCACAAGCAGTTGGGCATCTTCTTCAGGAGCATATTAACCTAGTTAATCAGCCTGGTGTTGTACTGTTTGAATGTCAAAAATGTGCATAATCCTATTTTTTTCCTGTAGGACAGATTATGATAAAATATCCCGGGACCTAATTTGTCGTCGAAAAGTTAATTTTTTTAGGACTCAGCCTTGTTTTACGGAGTTTGCGGAGATTCTACGGAGATTCTACGGAGCATGGCCCGCGGCTTCTGTGTGTGTGTGTGTGTGTGTATGTCGCCTGCTTTTGTTGGTAGGTATATGCAGCTCGACCGATGAGCACGTCCGGGCCCGAGATTGATTCTCGGGAACACGTGAGCTGCGGGTGTTGCGCATGGTCCTGCTTTGGACGCGCAATAGCAAAGACTCATCGACGGGCTGGGGCGGTGTCTAGGACGGAGCTGAAATTTATTCAGCAACGATCTAGCAAGGATCATATCCTAATCGCCTCCAGCCCGCAGCACTGCAGTTGTATGAATAATTAACATGATCCCAGATTCTCACTTATTTCAACAAGAACCCAGTAGCCTTAAAAAGCTACCAACGAACAACAACAACTGAGCTCGACTGTGCAGGACTCCTGTCGTCAGAAAAATCCCAACGGCGTGAGTCTCCAGAAGAATGGCGAAGTGCTACAGGCGCACTTTGAAGATGTAACTTGTTTGGCGGCGTTTCGCACTCTAAAGAAGCACGCTGATGCTAAGTCAGATCGCTCTCGACCTAGGTTTTCAGCTGCAGTCTACCAGGTGTTCTCTCGCATCGTCATAACTTTGACAGTGGGCACAGTATGAGTATAAGAGTCACAGTGAAGCGCGACTCATTAGGATTAGAAGCTTGGCCAAGCAGTGCGTCTCCAGATCCAGTAGATACTAGATAGTCTCCTTTGTTTCTAGCGAGGTTGTCAGCGACTTCCTGCAATGATACGAGCGAACAAGGACAGTCAGTGCAACGAGCCACTGCCTAGTCCTAGACCAATCCACTTACCATCTTACTTTTGATTGCCATGGATGCCCCGATACATAGTTGCGCTGTTCTTCAATCATTTCAGTCGGCTTCTGTCTTAAGCTTTTAATTAGTGGACCTCAGTAGACAACTTCCCAGATAATCTTAGCGCGCAACTCCTCATAGCGCTGAATTACCGAGCTAACATTCACTTAAATCTACGCTGTTTCCCTCTTATGCTTATTGGATGCAGTACGTACCAAAGGAAGAAAAATGTGGCGCTCGCTGTCTTCGTTCGTCCTCATCTGTCTCAGATGCTTTCGCCGTCTGCCTTGGTAACAGTGTATTGCTCCTCGTCTACCTCCGCGAGTAGTACCGAAAGGGCTACATGCTAGTAGCTTACGGACACGGGATTTTACATTTCCACCTTGCGCAAAATAACAGCTTCAATCGTCCACCACCATGATGAACGCCAGCGCTTCCACCAGCACCAGTCAAACCAAGAACGCGACGCCAGCAAGGACAAGAAAACGCTGGAAACTTCTTAAGGCAGGTTTTAAGAAGCTACTGCCTTATGCTTATCGTGTGGCTTTATTTAACTCGCCAAAGAGCATTCGCACGCATCTCGTTCACGACGATATGCGTGACGCATCTTCTCAAGGGGCTAGTGGGTGCGTGAAGAACGTAGTATAACTATAAGTCGGAGCGCCTACATTTACGCCTTTTCGTAGGCGCGGCCAACCGACAGGTAGAAGTAGAACGCACTGCGTCAGCCTCAGCATCAAACTAAAGGGCCTCCCACTCTAAACCTTCTCGCCAAATGCAGCAAATCAATGCGGGAACCAGTAGCGATAGAGACTGAGATAGGCGACAATCGTGCTGAAGAAGACGGAAATCAGAAGGGGGGCTTCTCCTTATGGCTATTAAGAAACTTCTTATAAGTTCAAACGCAATCGCTTCAATTATTTGACTTCGATGCCCGTGTCTAGCTGTGCACCAGCGGCCAGCTTTAAGGCTGGAGCCTCTTTTCTGCCTTCAGAAACGGTTTCTGAAGGCATGCTCGCTCCCAAGGTGAAGTGAAGCATTTACTCCAGAAGAAGACGCTGGGAAGATTACTAAGTCCGCTAAACTAAGTGGCCTTTTCTTCGTCTTAGGCAAGTCCTTGTCCTTAATCTAATGCTCATAGCCGATCGCTAAAGGAAGTAGCCCACTTCTTTTACTCTCGTCATCTGTTCTACTACTGTACTATCGGGCGTTTAGTACCCTTCTACTCATTGTCTAACTTTCGCAACAAGTCGGAGCACGAGTCGCGCCGCCCCAGCTGGAACTGGAAGCAGTCCCATAATTACTCCAGTCTACACCTAGCCTACCCACCAGGGCAGGCAAGCGGCTGCAGCTTGGTTGCATCAAGAAGCGCCGGAGATCATGAGGCGAGTTTCTTGCTTGGTGACAGTAGTACCGTACGGCAATCAAGTTCGTTGGGGATCGTTATTCACGTTTTTGGCCTGATTGCATACCTTACGATACCAAACGCATCGAACAAAGCTGGGACTAGGAGCAGCATGGCAACCACTTCTGCAATTTATGGCGATCAGTTACAGTGACGCTCGAGATGGGATATAATTGAAAACAGCTACTAGGCCCTTAACTACGGAAGAACTATGCGCGCCCCTCCAGCACCTAAGTAAAAACGAGAAGGGCTTAGATGTTCCACCACCTAGGTGAAAGCCGTACTTAGGAAGGGCTTAGAACTAAACTAGTACTAAGGGGTGGGGACGGCATGGCTGTAAGTGTGTTATCATGTTCATTCAATGTTCTCAATAAGTAGCGCTCGCAAGGATTCGCTTTCCCGTTTCATGCATCCAAATCAATCTAACCGCCGGGCTTTCGTGCATCCATATTATAGCTCCCCTCAGTGCCCTTGGTCTATTCGTAGGGACGCACTGCGTCCGCAGCTACAGCTGCTGCTGCTTTGCTTATAAGTATTTCAACTCTAATCTAAAGCTAGCTAGCGCGCGTAGTGCAACGTTCTGCACAGGGAACACGGCCCGAAGCCTAGGCGTCAAGGCTGAACTTGGTTACAGCCTCGCTGCTATCCAGACTCGGCGTGGGCGAAGGAAAGGGCAGCGAGGTACTTTCAATTTGTTAAGCTAGCATAAATTGGCTGGGCTTACGCGTAGGGCTGACTCGGGCAAACTGCACTGCCTCGGGCAGAATTGCGTGGGCGGGCTTCTGAGGCTGCGATCTTCACCGGCTGCGGGGGCTCGTCGTCTTTACGCCACCCAGTCTGTCAGCATCGCCTTGGGCTTTGTTCCTTGCAGTCAGCTCCGGCGCGCAGCCGCAAGGGGCGCGCAAGGGAGACCCAAACCAGCTCAGCCAGACGGCTGGCCACGATGCTCGCGGAGGCATTTGGTGGAGCCAAGCTACCCCACCACGAGCGGCACCGCGCCGGGCCTGGCACGGGGTGGGTGGCCACGGTGCTCGCGGCACTTGCGCCCGCGTGGGCGTCCAGGCGGTGAAAGGCGGGAGACTTTGCAACGCTCCAGGCTGGCAAGGCCACGAGGGCAACGAGCTGGCAGCGAAGGAGCCCCGGCGCCGCGTTGCCCGCTGGCGTGCGTGGAAAAGTGAAAGGGAGGGCTGCCATCTCCTGAAGCTACCCGCCTCGCTGACATCTAGAGGGCTGGGACCTGAAGCGCGCACGCGCAGGGAAGACACTGACGACGACGCAGACTCTGGACACTTTCTCTGTGTGTCCGTGACCGAAGGCCGCGACTGTGCCGGCTGGAGGTCTCCGGCGCGAATTTTCTCCGGCTGTAGCCAGCAAAGTGGGCACATGCCACAGAGCTGCAAGAGCGTCGGCACCGGGTCGGCGTTCGTTGTATTGTCCAGCAGGCTCGTCACAAAAGAGCAGGGGCGGCGCGAAGTTCTTAGTGGAGCCGTTCATCGAGAACCTCGAAAACTTTCCGAACAACATGGGGCGGGGGCTTGGCAGTTTGACAGTGAGGCGCTGAAGCATTTGCGGAGCAACGGCGGACGCTTCAAAATCAGGGAGGCGCGTCCCGGTTCGCGTGTGAGCAGTCTGGCGGTGGATGTGCAGCAACGGCGGCAGTCTTTTGCGGTGCTCGCATTTCGTTACGCAGACCGCCAGGCCTACGCGTTGTGTGCTCATTCAGTATACACGAAGCCGGGCGAAGGCACGGGCGCCGCGTTGCAATCCTTCGGATTTGAATGAGCCGCGGAGGCGCTCACGCTGGCACAGACGACGGGCGTGCGGCTACAAGGCTCCCCGTCAAAGGAGGCGGCGCCTGGCTATGTCTTTGCTACATTGTGACACCAGGCAGCGGCGTTGTAAAACAGTCGCGGGCTGTACGGCGGGGCAGATTATGACGCGAAACATGTGGAAAGATATGGCTGCCGATGTGGGAGCTCAACACTCTGGAACGCTTCGCCACGTCTCTGCCCGGAGCCGCGCCGGCGGCGTGGGCTTTTTTCTGGGTTTTAATGGGGCCCGCTCTGCGTGGCTGGACGGAGCTCAAGTCTCTGCAGCTGCGTGCGTCGGCGCCAGCGCTCAAGCTCGGCGCAAATTGTGAGCGATGCCACCGCGTGGGCACACGGTGCAGCTGTGCGCAACAGTGAGGACGACGGGGAAGACGCGCCGAAGCTGATAGGGGTGGGCGACTTCTGGACTGGAACGCTCAGCCGTTACACTGAGGGCGTGGGAGCGGTGGAAACGTGCAAAGAGTCCAAAGCCAGGAAGCGAAAAGGCTGCGCAGGCACGCGCGGGGAGACGTTCGGCCTCGGTCGTCTCCGCGGACGCGCTGGCACGCGACGCGGCGGCCGCGTGGGAGACTGACGGAGGCCCTCTTTCTTTAGTTACGGCGTGCAGCATGTGCGCCTGGTCTGCTAGACGCGCGCCCCTTGTCGTCTTGCTTCGGCGTCGGCTCATCTCCATGCGCGGGCGAGTATGTGGCGACAGTTTTGCGGAAGTTCTGCATGCTGGCGGGGGCTTTTGCGCTTTCCTCGCTTGGTTCGTTTTTTGTTTCTGTCGTTCATTCTGACTTTCTCGCCTTGTGGCTTTCTCGCTCCCTCACTGGCTAGCTTCGTCTCTCTGTGGGTTCAATTTGTGGCCGCGGGGCTGGGCGCTTTGTGTCTGTTGCTGTTCTCTTCTGCGCACTCTGTTAGTTTGGGTCAGTTGGATCGCCGACGTGGCACCTGCGTCGCCTGCGCTTCTGTGGATAATTGACAAAGCGGGGGGCCCGCTGGCTGGCTTCTTGGCTTGGCTGTTTGTGGGGTTGTGGGTCTGTGACTCTTCAGCGGAACGTGGCGAAGACGCTCAGTCAGGCAGGGGATAGCGTTTGTTTCTGTGCCAGGGTTTCACTTTGATGGCGGGGCCTTCGCCTGCTTTTTAGCGACGGGGCTGGTGTCTGCCAGACTCGTTATAACTTAATACCATAAATATAAGGACCGTCTTCGTCTCATTCTCGGATCGTCGGACTTTCTATTTATCCATCGATCTTTAATCCTATTACTTCCCTCGGCTGCTTCTCTTGAAGTGTTTAGCTACGTCTAGTGATAATCTTTGTAGTCGTGCTGGATAAGTTTCTTGATGAAGAAAGTCCCTTGTGTCCATCGTCCTCCAGTCAATGCATAGCACTTGCTAAAAACACCCAGGTCGTGCCACGGAGAAGCCCTCGACGAGAGGAGGTGGTCGCTGGTGGCATTCTCATGGAGTGGGTGCATCGTTATCCCCCGAGCCGTCCTCTTCCGCTTGGCGCCGTGTCTGAGCTTTCTCTCATGGTTCAAAGCAAGCAGGGGGTCGATCTCGATCTAGCGGTGGGGACGCAGGCGTTATGATGTTTGAGAATGAAACTGAAAGCGCAGCGCAAAGTTCGCGAGTTTTCTATCCATGTACTTAGAAGTAACGGGCCCTACTCGGTGGATCGATTCACTTGAGGAAGTTGGAGGGGTTGTCACATGCCAACTTGTAGAATGACGCGCGGTCTACTTCTAGAAGACATAGCACAGCCTTCCGCCCCCTTCTTTCTAATCCATGGCAAAACCAAGGGAGCTCCGTGCTCGCACGAAACCGCGGCACCAAGTGAAATAGCAGACGCTCCTGGTGCATCGGTGGGGAGACATCAAGAATTCTTGGCGCGTTGCCAAAGCAGCGAACAGCAACCCACTGGTGTCGTTTTTGGCGCAGGTCGAACGATTCACTGGACTGGGGGTGAAGATTCCCATGAGGAGGAAGGCCCCGATCATACGGAGGAAGTCAAAGGACAGGAGGGCGACCCGTGCGATCTTGTGCTTCGCTTGTAGGTGTGCGACTAAGTTATGAGTTTTGTCGTTGGATCCTTCGTCGTAGCTAGTCGCTTGCTCGTCTGGCTTCACGTGCGCAAGCTACTTCCTTACTATCTTGTAACGCGCTAGAGTAGGTGAGTATATAAGTTTTGTCGTATCCTATCGAGTACCCTCAGACATAGGATGCTGCACTGATCGAGTTCTTTGACACATCGAAGGAGACGAAGAAGATCAATAAGAGGAGACTAATTAAATCAAGTGATCTCTTGAATTGAAAACTAGGATGTCCTGGGTTTGCTCACGCATTCATGGCGTTGATGTTCCAAGGAAAAGGTAAAATTTGTTCTATGCGTTTTAATTAAAAGGATCACAAGAAAGAATGCAATTGAGTGCTTTGTTCTCATAATATGGCGTTTGAAAGCAGATAGTGTTTTTTTTTCTCGTTGCCTCCCTGCGTGCTTGCTTGGTGCTTGCATCCATCCACACTTTTTGACTCACATTCTCCGTTCCAATTTACGACACAAATAAAATTTTGGATCTGGAGAAGTTTGGAATAATCATGAAATTTTGATCATAATTGAAATTCTGAAGGCATGAAAAGTTGTGCGATCGATTTTGTATTATCGAAGGTGATCATGGCATGGGAGGATGATCAAACAACTGCATCACATAGGTTCCATTGTCTATCATAGGTTGGCTACTATTGAGCATATTTATTAGTTTTTCATACAAGTCGCGAGTAAAGTTGCACTTTATGGTAAGATAGATAGTTCTCGAAAGTTGCACTTTATGGTAGATAAGATAGATAGTGGCTCGGATAAAAAAAGAAAAGAAAAAGCAAAACTTTCCCACATCATATTACTCAGACACAGGTTGGGTCAACAGTAGGGCTGTCGCGTTGATGACTGTTGTCGTTTTTCATGAAAAAAGGGGCTAAAGCTGTGCTTTAGAAAGTTTTATGAGCAACTGTTTTTTTTGTGTTAATAAGGTAGGAGCAACTTTAAAAATAAATTATTAATTTTGAAAAATTGAGATAACAAGATTTAGGAACTCAAAGGTTTCGTTGTAGCAGGATCAAATAGCATTAGACTAGGTAGCTACGTAAGCGAAGGACAGCATGCCGGTTGTGTACAACCCGTCAGGGAAATCGTTCGACATCATTTCCATTAAGGTAAAAAATCACGAATTCGTCGAATATCTAAACAAACGAAATGGGTTCTCGGTGCGCCCCAACGCTCGAGGCCAACCTAAGTACTATCTTGGAGGCAGTCGCATATACTACAAGTATTTGGAAGACAATTTGATCCTTGTGCGGTGTGACTGTCGCATGTACGATTTAGCTCAGTACCTGCTAAGCGAAAAACTGGCACCTTTTCAAAGGGTAACGGTAAACCTTAGGGATAGAACAACGTCACAGCGCCACGGTAATATTATCCTGAGTCGCATCCATCTTGGCAATATTTCCATGAGACAGTGGCACTTTTACGCCTTCGATCACTAAAGTCTTTTATAAATAGGACTCAACTGGTTGGATTCTGAGGGCTAGGACTGGGTTAGGTCTATTGGCGCCATGGAGTTACCCAACCTCTATATAGATCAGCCATTCGTGCTGAGGGATGTTATTCTCGAGAATGAGGACTTTCAGTGTTTTGCTGAACACATAGGTGGGCGTGTAGTTGATCGACGTGACGGCTGCCCTGGTACTGGTTTGTGGTATTCTGGTGAATTTTTTGAAGTTCGTTGCTCTGAAGTAAAAGAGGACAAGAAAAACATTTTTTGGCACCACGAACAACATATATTTTTCAAACCCGCTAAGCTTTTTATGACAACTAGACTGTTTCAGTATCTCAAGGATGTATTAAAAAAGGACGAAGTGTTATGTAATATTCGGGTCTCCTCGCTCGAATTTGATATGGTCCTTATAGCTGCCTCGGACGTGGATCGAATAATTTTTGTGGATCAAGTTAGTAAATAGTTGAAGTTGTTGAACTAGTTTGGGAGGATGGTGTCACCGAAGACGGATTTGCTTGAAGTCATGGCTTTCCTGATGAATAAGGAAAGCATTGACATTCATCCTACGAAAGGATAAAAGGACTAAAGAGGTAGGTAAAACTATTGTTGTTAACCGTCAACGCCAGAAGTGCATTTTCTCTCTTGGGTTGTTGAGTCAGTAGCTCTACAAGAAGTTCTGTAAATATATAAGATGAGTCAGGTGGATGCTGAGTCTCTTGTCCAAGTTCGAGGTCGCTCACACGCTTCCTTGGTCGACGGACAAGCAGGCGCAGGGCCTGGCGGTTCTCAGGGCGGTGATAGAAAGGGGGAAAGAAAGTTGTAGATCGTCGAGCAAGAGATGTCTGCACTCATAAGTAAGCAGGAGTTTCTGCAACATAGATAGCTAACTGATAGATATTTAGATACTAAATGTACGTAGATCGAGGCTTAGTGCCTACCTCATATGTTACTGTTCGCTTCACATGTGAAAAAGAAGAACTACTCGCCACCGAATTTGGAACTTTTAGATGCCCCACCATGATTCAGACGACTTTACTCTTCGCCTATTCTTATGGAAGATAAGCTTAAAGCTTTGATTGTCACTCTCGTCTTGTTACTTCGTTGATTATTTATTCTTTTTCTCTCTCTCAGTCTCTTGACTTATATTCCTCGGAGTAATTCTTAAAACCTTACATTTTCTGTGCAGTCGTTAAGGGAGGACGTGAAGGTATCAGGTGTCTCTATTGCCAAGACGTGAAATTGTAACTGTTATTGTGGGATGGGATCTGAAAAACTTGCAATTGTAATTGTAATTGGTGATGCGTAAAGCTCCTAGTGCGGAGTAGCATCCCTGATTGATGGCTCCCCCGTTTTCCTTGCGTTATCTATTCCGATAAAACGATATCGGTAGGAATCGCAGTCATGCGAGTTAGTAGCCGCTGGGTAAGAAAGTGAAAATCAAAAAATCCCGGCGCAGGCTCGAACGATGTCGCCCAATCAATCTCGATCATAAAAAAGCGAAAGGCTATCAATTCTGCGTCTACTCCGCCTGTGATTGAAAACGAATGACCACAGAGGATCAATTGAATTATAGTGGTTGCGTAAGCGCGCGCGGGATGTGATGCGTGATCTCTGGACAAGGTCAAGCACATGAGTCAAAGCGAGTAGTTGGATCTGAAGCACCTTCAAATATAGCGCAAGCGTGAGCTTTCTCCGTCCCTAGTTGTGTTCTGCGTATTTATAGCTATCATGGCTAGCTTGTGTGTTACGTGAATCAGTCTAGCAAGCTTGCCTTGTTTTTGTGGTCGCCTTACTTAGTCACTTAGTTACAACTTAGTTAGGTGCGTAGGCTGGCTCCGCCAGCTAGTACTATCGTCGTGTAGTAGTAAGCTATAGCTGCACTGCCCCGAGAACTTGAAGCACTTAAGCAACTAAACCCATTAGGGACG